CCGGTCCATGACCCAGCTCTGCCCGAAACTGCACCGGCCGGACACCGGGAAAGCGCTCCAAGGTAAGAGGATCTGATCTCCCATTCCCCCCCGTGTGCGTTCAGAGTTCTGTACATTGCATTGTGTCTGACCGTGCACATTATTCCGGTGTGTGTGTGTGTCACTGCGAGTGTGTTATATCATCACCCCCTGTGTGTTTATAATATACCCCCAGACTGTATGTTATATGACATTATACGTCAGCGCTATGTGACATTATACCCCTTCTATCCCCCGTACTGTGTATTATATGACATTATACCCCTTCTATCCCCCGTACTGTGTGTTATATGACATTCAACCTCTTCTATCCCCCGTACTGTGTGTTATATGACATACCTCTTCTATCCTCTGTACTGTGTGTTATATGACATTATACCCCTTCTATCCCCCGTACTGTGTGTTATATGACATTATACCCCTTCTATCCTCCGTACTGTGTGTTATATGACATTATACCCCTTCTATCCTCCGTACTGTGTGTTATATGACATTATACCCCTTCTATCCTCCGTACTGTGTGTTATATGACATTCAACCTCTTCTATCCTCCGTGCTGTGTGTTATATGACATTCAACCTCTTCTATCCTCCGTACTGTGTGTTATATGACATTCTACCTCTTCTATCCTCCGTGCTGTGTGTTATATGACATTATACCCCTTCTATCCCCCGTACTGTGTGTTATATGACATTATACCTCTTCTATCCTCTGTACTGTGTGTTATATGACATTATACCTCTTCTATCCCCCGTACTGTGTGTTATATGACAATTTATCATCTTGCAAGAACACATTTATAAGTGTTTGTGTAAATATTCTATTCCCGTAGTGTCCCCAGTGTGTGTTATTTTGTGTCTCCTCCCCTCCCCCACAGTGTGTGCGTAATATTATGTTATTACATCACATTTATTATCCGATCCCTCGTTGTGTATATTGTATTATTCTATCCTGCCTTGTATCTCCCACATTGTGTGTGTCTATGACATCTCTCCTCTTAGTGTCACTGCTGTGTATATTATCTTCTCCTCATGTGCCTGTGTGTCACTTATGATATTATTACATCACGCCTATTAGTATTTTCCCTATAGTGTCACTGCTGTGTATATTGTATTATTACAGCATCCCACTGGTAGTGTGTGTTGTCTGTTGTATTCC